GATCTGGGGCGGCTGGTCACCGGGATCGTGGGGTTCGCCGTAAGGGTTTAAAACTGGCTTTCAGAGAGCATGGACCTGTCCACGGTCCTGCAGTTTGGTGGAGCAGGATGACGAGGCACAAGGGAGGGAGGGGCGCAGAAAGAACCGAAATGGCGGTGTGCAAGCCCGACTCCGCGAGGGAGGCCAGCATCATGAACTGCGGGCATGGGCTCCTATCTTAAAAGTTAGCAAGAGAAAATAAAGGACTTCTGGACACTTGCAGAACTGGGCTTGGACACCTGGAGCCGACATGGGGACTGAGGCAGGCGTCTCACCCTTGGCCTCCCGACGGAGGACAGCAGTGACAGTGACAGGAAGTGTGTGACAGTGAGCGGGTGATAGGAGGTATGAGGTGGCGAGTGGGTGACAGGAAGTGTGAAACTCTCCCCTTGGGAGTACCCTGGGGCAAGGAGGCCCCAGCATTGGTGTCCAGCTGCCCAGGAGAGGCCCAAGTGCCAGGGCCCTGATGGGCACCTGCAGAGGACAGAGCAGTGGCTTTGAATGTCTGCACTGGTCACCCTGCCCACTCACCCACTGCCAGGCCTGACATGGTCGGGGCTGACCCATCCCTGTGTCCGGGCCGGCAGGCTCAGGGCTGGACCACACTTCCCATCCTCCTCTGCACCACTGTGGCCACGTGACCACGGCTGGCCAATAGGGTGTGGCCAGGGTGGGTGCAGCCCAGGCACGGCCCCCCTCCCTTACCCACTGTCCAGGGAGTGGGCTCCCAAGGATCCCGTGAAAGCCCCCTGGAACTCACGGACTGTGACATGAGGGGAAACAAGCTTTATTTTTTTGTTTTGTTTTGTTTTGTTTGAGATAGGGGCGTGCTGTATACTCTAGGCTGGCTGTGAACTCACTGTGTAGCCCAGGCTGGCCTCAAATTTGCAGGAATCCTCCTGCCTCTGCCTCCTGAATGCTAGGATTACTGGCAAGAATGCCCAGCAAGAAATAAACTTTCTTGTGTTAAGCCAGTGGGTTGATCTGGAAGAGTGTGTGGTGGGTCACAGTCTCACCCTTTCCACTAACTCTTCAGTTTAACCCAGAAATGTTGGCAAACTCCCTAACTTCCTTTACTCTGAGTTAACGTTTAATTCTGGAGGTCACATGCTTGCCGCTCACTGTCCCAGTCAGGCCGGGAAGTACCCAGAGTCACCCATCGTCCCTGCTTCCATGTGTGGTGGCAGCCCTGCCGCCTGTGTCCAGGCCCCTCGCCCCTGCCAGGCCGGCGATGCCTCCCCATGCCTGCTGGTCTCTTTGGACACGAGGAGCTCATGGTAATGGGGGCAGCTGTGGCTGTCCCTTGGTGGCAGCTTCTCTCTGAAAGAGCCACAGCCTCCCCATGCGGGGTGCAGGGGGTGTGGAGGGAGGACCGGCCCGACTCCTCGCATCCCTTGGTCCTGCGACCTTGGCTTGACCCCTGGGGCGCCATACCCACTCCGGCCCCCCATGCCTGGAGAGCCCCGCCCAGCAGCACGGGTGGTGTTGCCAAGCTGGTGCTTTGGCAGCTTCTGGGCGGCAGGTGCGCAATGGGACCGGTGGACAGTGCGGCCCGTGCCTCTGACACCATGGTGGGTCCCCAGAAGGGGACACTGTGCCCCCAGGGGCCTCTCTGAAGGAAGCCAGGGGACCCTGGAGCCACTGTGGTGGGGCCTGTGGACAGGAACCTGGCCCTCTGCCCCTGCAGCACGTCCAGCCGGGCCCAGCAGTCCAGTGACGTCCTGGCTGCAGCCTCGTGACAGACCGTGAGTGGGAGCACTGGCCAGGTCGTGGACACGTCACCGTGGTCACTGGCGGTGACACAGCGTGTGCCTGGTCAGGACGGAGCGCTCACACTGAAGAGCAGCTCGGGACCTGAGCAGGGCGCGGGGTCAGCCGCCCGGCCCTGCCTCACCGGTCCGGTCCTCGAGTGTCCCTCTCTCCGCAGTCCACCTCTTTTGCCCAGGGTTTCTGTTAACCCTTGCTTCCTCAGGTTGGTGGCTGCTGGGCGCCGTCTCTGGGCCCTAGCGTGCCGGTGCCATCGCAAGCCCGGTTCTGTGACAGCAGCTGTGGCCTGCAGGGACGGCCCCACCTCTGAGCTCATCCGCAGTGGCGTCCTCTTGATGACCCTGGGGAGCCCTGTCACCCTCATGATGACAGGCCCAGGGCACTTCCGGGAGCCTCCCCGCCTCCTACCTTGGCCCAGGGGAGATCTGGTGTCTTCCTCCCTGCACCTGTCCCGGCAACTCTGGCGCCTCTCTGTCTTAGGAAGCGACTTGGGGAGCCCCGTATGGAGCCAGGTGTAGGGGCGGCCAGCAGACCTTTGTGGTCCTGCAGTGCTGGAGGCTGAAGTCCAGGGTCAGCAGGAAGCAGAGATGGTTTCCATCGTGGTTTTTATCTGGATGCCCCAACACCTCCTGCGCTCACAGGGGGGTCTTTGGGAGGTGATGGACCACGGGGCTCTTGGCTGACTGCTGTAGGGGCAGAGTTGGGTGGGAGGTGTCATGGGTGTGACTGGAAGGGAGCGTCCTTGTCCCCACTCCTCCTCTCTGTGCCTCCTGGCTGCCATGATGTGAGCAGCTCCCTCCCTGAGGCCCTTCTGCCATGATGCCCCTGTGTCAGAGCCAGGGACCATGGACTGAGCCCCGAACCGTGAGCCAGGCGAGCTTCTCCTCCCTGAGGCTGTGACACATGCACGCTCTCTACACGGGGAGGTGGGTGCGGCCCTGGGTGGTGGGAAGCTCTCCGAGGGGCTCGCCCAGCTGCGCCTCTCACCGCCACGGAGGGACCTCATCCTGCAGCGGAGCCCGTGCGTCCCACGACAGCCTGGCCCAGGGCTGCTGCAAGAGCGAAGCTGTCTGAAGATTGCAGGAAACTGCCCAGGGCTCAAGCCGGTCTGCCCACCCCTGGCATGGCCATGCATTCTTCAAGGCTTCGGTTCTGAATTTACCAGGATGAGACCCACAGTGCCAGAAGGAACCGGGCTTCCAAGCCAGGAGGGAAGGGAAGGACGTCAGAGGTGCCGAGGGCCGGACTGGCTCAGAGGCGCGGTGAGGTCTGTCATGAGAACCGGGGCGCGGCACAGGCTGCTGGGTGGCATGGGGCACCAGTGACATAAGACCTGGCCTCAGTGACCTCTCAGGGCCAGCAGCGTTGGTCTGGGGGGCAGAAGGGACGCGTGGCGCCTTGCCCAGCTCCGGAGCCTGGCACGTGCGTGCTGTGCTCCACTCCCCACCTCCTGCTCACACAGGGACGGAGCTGGAGGAGCTGGTGGAGCAGCAGCTGCCACGCCAGGCCCGAGCCCCCAGATCACAACGCTGCAGTGCACGGGGGTGGGGGGATGCGCTCCACTGAGACCCGTGACCGCCCTACAACCCGGTGGGACGGGGCCACGGCTCAAGACATTAGGGACTCAGACAGAAGCTGCGTGGTCCACCTCCGCCTGGTAGAGGAGACACGGTGACCAGGGCATGCTTGACCCCGATATGGGGAGGAAGTCAGGATTCTGCTTGGTATCCTCTGGGGCCCAGGGGCATCGTGAGCATGCTTGTTAGTTCTGATGTGCCAAAAAAATGGCAGTTAGCTGGCCATGGTGACACAGGCCTGAGTGCAGCACTCTGGGAAGCTGAGGCAGGAGGATTCCAAGTTCAACCCCGGCCTGGGAAACTTAGCAACCTAGTGAGATACTGCCCCAAGATAAATGAATGAATGAATGAATGAATGAATAAAACGGGGCCGGGGATGTGGCTAAGTGCAAGGCTCCGGGTTCAATCCCTGGTACTGGAAAAATGAAGTGAGTTGAAGATGGCAGTCACCAGTATGAATGGACCAGGACAGATTCAGCTCTCTGGTTGGTTAAATCTGGGTCATTCAGCAGGTAGAGAAGTAGGTGCAGGCGGAGGGAAGGTATCTATGGAGGATGAAGGACTTCCAGCAATTTACTCCGTGTCCACCCTGCTCTTTCCTGGCCACTTTGTGTGACCAGCGCTGGTGCGGATCACGTTGAGGTCAGGGTTCCAAGCGGCAGCTGCTGTGTGCGTCCCCTCCAAGACGACTGTGTGTGTGGTGTGAGGCCTCTCCCTCTGAAAGGGGCCCGGCCGGTGCTGAGTGGCCAAGGGGTGGGCTGTGCGGGACCCTGTGTTACCTGCCCCTCTGCCCACCTGCTTCCTGTTGGGTTTGGCCAGTGGGCACCAGCTGGAGGCTGGCGGGTAGGAGGAGGGAGAGAGGAGCAGCTCTCTGTCCCCCTTGTTTAGGGCCAGGATGCTGGGGGGGCCGCATGCTCCAGGGCCACAGCTCACACGCCAGGCTCACAGTTCAGCTCTCCCCGTCCCTGGAATGATTTCCTCCCCTCCCCTCAATCCAAGAGATGGAAGTTGCCTGTCCCCGGGGGACCCCTTGCTGGCTGGGTGTGGACGAATCTGCCTCTGCCAGAGCCAGGGTAGGGCCGGGCGGCCCAAGGCAGCTTCCCGGGTGTGGAGTGGCCTTAGTGGGCCCTGTGTGCCGGGTGGGGCCCGTCCCCTGAGGGCCAGGCTGGGGGCTTCCACATGGCCTGCGTGGTGCTGCTACAAGGCTGCTGCCTGGGGTACGATGGCGGGGAGGGGCACAGCCGCTCTCCCCCTGGGGCGGGACCACGTGGCCTGACACCCCAAGGCTTATTACCGGAAGCAGCGTTTCTCGTACTCCACCAGGGTTTCCGGTCCCCTCCACTTGCTGTGGGCCTAGACTCCCTGCTTCTCCCGCAGATACTGCTGGGGCCCTGCTCGGTGTCAGGGCCCGGAGGCCATTGGTGCTGGGACTGTGTCTGTGCCATTACGAGCAGAAGCACTCCAGGGGTAAACTGAGGAGCCAGGGGCAGGGCTCCCCTGGGCAGCTGGGCTTTGAGCCCAGGCAGCTCCCTGCGCAGCTGCTTCTGTTTAAATTTTAATTTGTCTTAGCCTGTTTGCAGTGTGTATGATTATGTTCCCTGAAGAAGGTGGGGCGAGGACAGAACACATCGTAATTTTGGGGGGGGGTACTAGGGATCGAACTCAGGTCCTTGCGCTTTCAAGGCTGGCAGTGGCACCACTGAGCTAAATCCCCGGGCCTGTAATTCTTTTATATCCCCTCTCCTCCCTTCCCCAATTGGTCTTTTTTCCTTTTGCAAAAGATCTACCTCCCTGATTCCTGTTGTCTACCTTTTACTTTGTTCATTAGTTTATTTCTACTTTGGATTTCTCAAATTAGAGGAAATATGAGTTTCTGGAGGGAGGTTGGGTCCTGAGGTCAACTGTGGTGTTGCTAGGAAGCTGGCTTCCGATGCCCTCTTTTCTACCAGAGTCTCGGTGGCGAAAAAGCTGAGGCAGAAAAAGCCAAGGCAGCAGCGATGAGACAAAAGCACTCGCTCCAGGCTGCACTGCCCAGGCCAAGCCCGCTGCCTGCTCTGGGCCTCCTCTCCGTCACACGCTGAGAAGAGCACTTCTGAAGAAACATGTTCCCAGTTTCCGGTTGTTGGTTTTGGATAACTCTCGAGTGCACCTCAAACCCAAGGCCAAGGTGACACCCAGAACACAGGAACTTCTTAATCGAGAAGAT